AAAATTTAGTTTATACAGAAATAGTATCTAAAATGATCTCAGTTTCCAAAGTTAAAGCAAAAGATCTAAACACACATATATTAGGCAGGATGTATTTGTTTGAAAAAGAACCCACTCTTTTGTGAAATTAAAAGGTTTATAGGTGAAAATTGTAAATTTATAAATAAGTTTTATTTTTTCCTTTGAACTGAGATCAATATGTGATTTTTTTAAATTTCTTTAAAAGCATTTGTTTTTTAACAATTACAGCAGATGCAAATAATGTTCTGAGAGATAATTGAAAAACAATGGCCATTGAATAACATTTTTTGATAGTAGAAATAAAAGTTTTAAAAATGTTATTTCACTAACAAAGTAGAGGAATGACATACAGTATACAGTACTTAACTACCAAAATACGCAACTCATAGATCACCACAAACTTCACTTTTGTTAAATATCAAATGAATTAACTTTACATGTTATAAACAATGCAAATAAACAGTAGTTAAAGCATATGATCAATTGTGTGTTACAGAATTTGATTATTGGGGAGATTCCTTTTAAAAACTAAATTAGTTAAGATAAAAAAATGCATATAATGACTCAAGAAAATCAGTTTTAATTCAGAATTTGATTATTGGGGCCATTTTTACCTACCTGTCATATGGGGCCTTTTTTACCGGGGCCATTTTTTCCGGGGCCATTCTTACCGTACACCTCGAAAAACAATGGCCATTGAATAACATTTTTTGATAGTAGAAATAAAACTTTTTAAAACGTTATTTCACTAACAAAGTAGAGGAATGACATACAGTATACAGTACTTCAACTACCAAATTATGCAATTCATAGATAACCACAAACTTCACTTTTGTTAAATATCAAATGAATTAACTTTACATGTTATAAACAATGCAAATAATCAGTAGTTAAAGCATGTGGATCAATTGTGTTTTACAGAATCTGTCTCTTATACACATCTAGATGTGTATAAGAGACAGCTTTTCAAACATAGGAATATTCAAAGAAGTATTGCTTTTAGTAAACTGAATAATTAGGAATACATTTATTTAAGCAACTAATTTAGTTGCATACTTGGTTTTTACTCATCACTAACTAAATCCAAGTGCCTACTACTTGCTTAGAATTATATATACTATAGTTATGTATGGCAATTATGCTATGAATTAAAATGGCGTGTGATTGTGAGGGTAGGGTGATTATGGTAGGATTAAGTGGTGAATCCCACAAACCTCCCAAAACACACTGTAGAAAATCAATCAATTGTGATTGACTGACTTGGTATATCAATAAGAAAATTAAATACATTCATAACTATTTTTTGGTTAAAATTTAGATTTTGTTATGAAAAAATACTTGCAAATACAACAAAAACCTCTAAACACACTGCAAACACCATCTAAACCATAAAATTATGATTGTAGAACTCTCTTTTTCTTAAAAAAAAATAATAATAATTTTATGTTCATACTAACCCGCTGTTTGTGGGGTTTACCAATACACAGATTGAATTTCTGGAAAATTGTGATTCCTCTACCGTGAAATCGGCCACAAGTAAATTATTTTAGTATTAATAAATGCATGATTTATGTTGATTTATTGATTTTGTTGTTGCTATTTTTTAACATTTAAATGGAAATAATAATAAAAAGTGTAATTCATGGCTTTTTATTTATCTTTGAATATTTTATCATTGAATATTAATTCTTGCAATTCTTGATGTTAGATTCCTTTTAAAAACTACATTATTTAAGATACAAAAATGCATATATTGACTCAAGAAAATCAGTTTTAATACAGAATTTGATTATTGGGGACATTTTTACCTACATGTCATATGGGGCCATTTTTACCAGGGCCATTTCTTCCGGGGCCATTTTTTCCAGGGCCATTTTTTCCGGGGCCATTCTTACCGTACACCCCTACATGCATGAACTTTTGCCAGAGGTAAATTCTGATCTTGCAAACAAACTTTAACCGTACAATCCAGTCCCTGAATGGATCGTGCATAATGATTCTTTGAAACACGATTCATCATATAATCACCTTTATTCGTTTCTGTTTTCCAATTACTGCTGACTCATCAGCCAGTCTTTAATAATCCAGGCCTCAAAGACAAGAAACATTAAAGATTTTATGTAAGCCTTTTATACCTTTATAAATGTATATGAAGATAACCTACCTTACTAGGAAAAGCTCTGCACTACCATTTGTGATCGTGAGCTACTACTGGCACCAGTGTGTGGCTTCTCAGAAGACCTACCCTATACCACCTGCAATTGAGCTGACCTGACAATCCAGTCTTATCATATGAAATTCAAAGAAGGGATCATCTTCAAATCTTTAATATTGCATCCTGTATAATTGTGTACAGTGTCTCCACAAGTCCCTGATAATGGTTATTCTCTAATGAAATTATAATGATCATGTGACCTTTTTGATTATTGCTCCCATCAGTCATGATGGTTGTAATTTAAAAGGGATCAAAAAAGAATAAATGATTGTTTGTAATGGTTGAAACAAAAGACTTACAGTGGTTGACCTGTATACTTAAAAATTGTGGTTTTGAGACCGTTTACATTAAAAAAAATAATAAAAAGTATAAAAATAAACATAAGAGAATACAAGTATTTTATATTTTCTGAATTATTAGAATTTAATTTCAAATATATATTGAACACTTTCTTTAATTACTAATTACTGTACTATAACTTAAATTTTGCAATTTCTTAAATTGTAAACTATAGGGGCCTACTACTTTACATACTAATATTGTTTATCAATATAATATTATTTTATTTATAGAAAAAAAAGCAAATATGGTGCTTTATCAACTGGGTTCATTAAAGAAGAGAACCATGACTATGCCAAGTTACAATTCTAATGTGCTGTTCTGCTAATACTGTATATTTGTTCCTCAAAAATAGACACGATACTGCTCCATCCAGTCCTAGCATGATGGTGCTCTTGCACAAACATTGGCCACTATTAAATTAAATACAGGTTTGTTATTGTTATATGACTGGAATAAGGAGTAAGAATGTTGTTTTTAGCGTAAATCGTATGGTTAGTTCAGTAAATAAAAACGACAGAAATTTAAGATGTACGGTAGAATGGGGTTCAATAAAATGATAATGATGAAATATTGGATGGTTCCATTCAAGATTCATTTTATTAGAGAAATTAGTATTAGAGATATAAGTTGCATATTTATAATTTGGAAATATTCATAAATATAGAAACAGTTATATGATTGAAATTATAAGTACAGTACAGACAAAATTTATATTTGAATAGTTTCATTTGGTTTGCATATTATAACCATACAATATTATAAATAAAACAGTTCTAAAGTTAAACTAGAGAAATAGATTACATTTTTGTAAATATATTGTTAGAGAAATATGTGCATACTTCATAACAAGATTGAGTAAAATGTGTATATTTTTAAATACGGTATTTATGAGAAATGAGTGTAAGAAAAATAAATTAAATATTCATGAATATATGGTAATCTTTATTAGAAAAATAGATAAGATATTCTTAATAAATACAGTATTAGAAAAATATTGCATCATATAGAGAAAATGATAGGGAAAAAATACTTACAAAAATATAATGTATGCATAAATGTACAGTGGAGAAATTATTAGAAAAATATATAAAATATTCATTATAGAGAAATTGATGTTGAAGGAATAAATTGTAGATATTAAAAAAAGGAAAAGTGATATTGTAGTAAGTTATAAAGTTGCATATTTTTTTCTAATTTGAGATAGAAGAAAATACAATATGAAGCATCAGAGCCGATTTTGTATTAATAACAATAATCCTAGTTTTTAATTTAGCCTTTCCTGGTGGTGTTATGAATAACAAGACCTTGGTATAATTATCCATTGTTGTCAATAATAAGGAATATATGACAGAATTTATAAATGCAGTCTTATCAATATTGAATATTTGATCAAGTTCATGACTACCGTACATAATTATACTTTATTAAAGGAATATTTGACAGTGTTTATCAATACATAATTAGTTTTTATCAATAAGGAATATTTGATAAAATATGAATTTACCGTACTATCAGCCTTCGTCTTTAGTATGTTTACCGGTAGGTATTACTGATATTAGAGAAGTGATATTTATGTACCATAAATAGATTATTGGTAAATGGAGAGATAAGAATGATGCAATTAGAAAAAGAATTAACTAAAGGTCGGGTCTACGTCAGCAAAATCTTTACAACAAAGAAAACCCATTATGAGTCTAATATGAGCTCATTTGAATATTCAGACCCAAAAGCAAATATAAGAAGAGCATATGATACAGTAGTAGAAAAAGGAAAAGGTCCCTCCAAAAATTAACAAAGTAATTTCATTCGACGTTGCACTTTTATTAAGGATCATCAGCAATGAAATATACAGAGATGATGATGATGATCGTGATGCTTTAAAAAGTGAATTGTCAAAAAAAAGGGTGACATACTGTAAGTTGAACTTTCCTAAGTTGAATCCAAATAGGCAATAAAAAATTGTTCAACTTAAATAAAATTTGACTTACAGATTGTAAGTTAATGGAAAACACAACAATTTGGCATGTAAAATAAGATCAACTTAGAAATTATTCGAGTTAGGCAAAGTCGACTTAAGCAAGTTTAACTGTATCAGTGGCGGATCTAGGATTTAGCAATGGGGGGGGGGGTGGATAATGGGAGGTGAGGAGGCACAAGCGGGGAGGGGGTGGTTTTAGGAGAGGCATTCCATCACATTTGAGATTTTTTTTTAATTAGTAGACTGCTAGACGATCTTAAATGGCATCCTGAAAAGATTCGTAAGCTTAAAATTGAAAGTGTTTGTTTTACCAGAGTACACCAGGACCACACAAACAAGATGAGTGACCACTGTTTCATTTTTCGTGGTAAACGAAGGTGGGTGGCTAGCCACCCTATTCACCCCCTCCTAGATCCGCAACTGTGTATATATTTTTTGTACCAGGGTCCCAAAATGGAAGAAGATATAAAATGAACTTGAACTTCCAGGGGGGTCTTGTTAAAATGAGCTTGCTGAACACATTTCATTTGATGTCCTTTGCCGCTGACTTCTGTGAGACAACTGATAATAAAGTAGTAGAAATGTCCGGAAGATGTAATTGCTGGCAGGAGTTGAGAAGCCCGTAAACTCAGTGCATGTGCCTGGTGGTGATGATACAGTATTATGAATGTTACTTTCAATATATGTGTCAAAATAGGCCTACAGGTCTTCAAAGTAAACAAATATTTGAGGTTTTTTTCTATATTTCTATTTTTTTTTTTTTTTTTATTGATTTTTTATTAATATACATCACTTTTGTAAGCAAGAACCAAATTGCCTAATTTCTGTAGGTTCGAGGGCAAAGATTGATTATGCACTTCATAGGAAATTTGCATTGAACTTTAATAGAAAATTGTGTTAAATGCTTAGGGAAAACTGCAAATTGCCGAAAACTGCTCCAATTTACATTGAATTGCATTAAAAATAGAAGTTCAATAATAGCACCTATAAAATGCCATCCCAAGATTACTGAAAGTACAAAGCTGTTGAGAGTTAATCCTAATGTAAAAATTGGTTTGTATTGTAGGAGTATCCATTAAAGTTATTATTTAATTTCATTATATAATATTATAGTATTATTGTTATTGTCGTGATGGAATAGACAATAACTGGTTTTCAAACATACTGAGTATTCAGTACATTTCTTCGTCAGGTAGGGCAAATTACACCTATATAATATAGTTTGTTCTACTCTGTTATATTCACTTATGGTATTGATTTATTTAATTTTTAAAATAATCATCTAAATGTCACTAAAACATTTAATATTACTTCATCTGATTTTACATCATTTGTACTTTCGCATGTAACCTACAGATTTGGCATTTAAGCATGTGATCAGCAAAAGGTCAACATGCCTCAAAACAATGCAGAAATTGCGACTGGTTAAATTATGCTCCTGCGTCATTATTAAATTAGTTCTTTTGATTTACCGCCGGCAACATAATCTTGTACTGCTGCAAATAATAACATAAATCAGTGTATGATTTCTATCTAGCCATATTAGAGTAATTACTTATTCTGAATGCATTTGTGAGAATGAAAAAATCAAAAATGAATTTTTTTTTTAGAAACCAGTGGATTTTTGCAAATCCTTAAAACTGATCGGATCTAATGTATGAATGGACTTTTGTGTGTCAAACTTTACAGCCTATTTGAAATATTGTGGAGCTCCCAAAATCGAACACATCATTGAGAAATAAATATCTTCATATTTCAATAGTTCTGTCCACTATCAAATTTTATGTCACAAATTAATGTGATGTGCCCATATATGGGCATGATGATATCATATTACACCTATATATGGGCATGATGATGTCATATTACACCTATATATGGTCATGATGATGTCATATTACACCTATATATGAGCATATCACAGGTTTTTTCACATAAAATGTGATAGTGTGGACAGAGTATTAGTTTGCTCCTAGCACTGGCGGTGCCAGCGGGGGCAGGAGGCTTAGTCTACCCCCCTCTCCCATTGGACAAGACAAGCCCTGCCATTGGCCGAGCTCGTTGGGCAGTCGGACAAAAAAACATTTTTAAGATAGGCCTACACCAAGTCAAAACATGTCATTCACAGTCGTAGAGTAGCATTTCCAGCCATCCAGAGGTCATTATTAGACCAAACCCTCCCCCTCCTCGGGCATACAAGCTCAAGCCCCCTTTGTCGAAAAGCTTACCCCCCAAAAATGTATCCTGGGCCGCCACCTGCCCCTAGTCCACAAAAGAGAAAAAAAAAGTTTGCTCCTAGTTATTGAACTAGTGTTCCCAGTCCTGCTGGGAATTAAGAATCCAGGAAACTGTTTTTTTCTAGTCATCGCAAAGCAAATAGCATAAAATTCATAAGAATATTCCTCAATAACCAGAATTAATTTTGAAAAATCCCTAGAGGGAGGAGAGGAGTCGTATTTGATGCGAGATTCAAGATAATATCCAAGGGGATAGAACTTGCAACAAGCTGACACTCACAGATTGTCTAGTTCCCCCTACCTGTCATCTACAAGACTAAATGACAGGTAGGAGACAGCTAGGGGGAATTCAGTCACCAAGTAAATGTTCCAATCTCCATAGCAAATATGCTTTCTACTATGATTTTAAAATGTGATTAAAATTTGTCATTCATTTTAGATGATAATCTAAATGTACATTAGAAATCTCAATCGAGTACTGTACCTGTAATATTGTTTATTGATGGTACCATGTTCATGCTTATCTTGGAAGATTTTGTGAAAATCCTAATAACATAAGGTGTTTGCATCGTATCATATGAATACAAAAAAAGCTAAACAATTTATGTTTAGTTTTTTTGTATTTATTTGATGCGATACAAACACTTGTGTTTTTTTATAGCGACACATAACATTTGATTATATTGTTATATTACATCTGGCTCTTATACACATCTAGATGTCTATAAGAGACAGATATAATATAGTTTGT